GGGGGGGAAGGAAGGCGGTTCCCGCCTCAACCGCCCGGTCAGCGCCTCATACTCCCGAGGCGGGCTGGTCCCGAGCGGACGGTTGGGCGGAGCCAGCGCTGCGGGAGAGCCGGGAGGGGGCGGGGCTCCTTCCCGAGGCCACAAAAAGTCCTGGCTGACCGGGCTGGCAGAAAACCGCCGAGGGGAGGCGAGGAGGCAGCATGGAGAACGGTCCGCCCGTTTTCGACAAGCCCAAGGTGAGTGCCCTGCCCGCCCTTTGGTCCCTGCCTCGAGGCACCCTCACAGACGGGGCCGCCCTGGGCGGGAGGCGCTTTCCTCCAATCCCAAGAACCCCGGCGGAGCCTTCCTTTTAGGAAAACGATTCTGCCTCAGGACCCAGCGCTTTCCCCCTGGCCTCGACCGGCCCTTCCCACTTGGATCCCCTGACCAGAAAGAAAATATTTCTGGTCCCTGAGGCGGGAAACCCAAATCTCCTCGCCCGCCGCCGCACACACAGACACCTGTTGGTAAAAAAAAACAATTGTCAACTTGCTACCCCTTCACTGGAACCCCAGGAACTCCTCGCCCAGGTAAATGGTAGAACTGGCCCTGCCTCTTCTGGACCGTCTGTCAAAGCTTTTCCCCTTTTTATTCCCCCATCCCCAGCGCCTCTCCACCTCCCTGCCGCCCTCTCGGTTCTTGCCATCCTCCCTTGCCTGTCTCAGCATCCTTCAAGCCATTCCGACTGGTGTGGTGCCCCTCGCCCCCGTTGCTTTGGGAGGCTTGCTGACTCTTACGAATGCTTCTTGCATTTCAGCTTTCCTGGGCTGGCTGTCCTCTCTCGCCTCCCCCGTCTTGTCATTCCTACGGGGCAAAGCTTTTCTTCTAACCCCTTCCTTCCCAGTGCCTGCCCATTTTTTTTCCATCTGCATTCCTGTATGGACTGTGTTCATGGTTTACAGGTTTTGTTTGTGGTGGTGTATATGTGCGGCAGCTTGGTTGCTGCATGTCATTTGTGGTTTCTTAGCATGCGTAAATCCAAGCAAAATGTGTCACTATTCTGTACCCAGGTGTGCCTACCACAAAGAAATATTGTAGTATGTAAAGCAACTTTCAGTTGCTCAATATATCCTACCCACCCTTCTAGAAATGTTATTTTTCTTATGGTGTTCCTGCCCATTTTTATGCATGCAAAGCACATCTTTTATGTAGTAACCTCACCAAGACACTTATAATGCTGACTTTATTCATGCCGTAGTTAAGTAAGGTAACTGTTATATGGTTACTTATAATTAAACAGCTAGTAGCGGCCCTATCCTAAGAACCTGCTGAATTCTTTATGTTGACCATTATACTCTGCTTCCCTCCCAGCGGACACCCAAGCAGCTTACAATATTGTTATGCCTTCCTCCATTTCCCCCTCACAACAGAAGCCCTGTGAGATGCTGGCCACAAGCAGCTATCCCCTTGACACCAAAAAGTGCTATAAAAATTAAGTTAAAATCTCTTTGTCAGTATCTTCTTTTTATTCTAGAGTCTGATCTTCTAAATAATTTGTTGAATGCAAACCAATTCCAGGCCAGACGAGTGTGTCAGAGCTAGGTTTTGACGCCATCTAAACTTTTGGTCAGTGATATGAACTGAACAAATGTTCCACCATTCATGAGACCTGTATCCATGTGGTTGTTCATGTGAGATGACTGTACAAAGTCATCTTTTGTACTAGGGGTGGGGTATGTTAAAACTGCAGAACTCCCTTGTGTGTATTTTAATAGATCCTGCTGCACACATTCATTTCAAGCATAGACCTTTGCATGCACCAGTTAAAGTGTGCTGAACATGTGGCTTTCTTTGTCCGATGTGTGAATAGAATCCTTTCTGCACTAGTGAAACTGACAGTTGAGAACTGGCTGGTTTAACTTCCCACAGAGCTTGAGGAAGCAGTCGGAGAAAACGAAACCAGTTCATCCTAAACAATAATTATGATGACCACACATCCTGCTAGTCCGAGTTTCTAAGTGATACGAGGAAGTTAACGACATAATGCTGACTTGTGAGAATGAGGAATGCAGTAAGGTTAAAAGTAACTTTTATGACTTACTGCACAGGATCTTTAAAGTCTACATAAATGTGTTCACTGTGTCTTATGTTGTTTAACTCCTCCGCAGAGGTGGTGCTAGTAGCCTTATAGATCACATACTTGATATTAGATGTTGCTGGGAATAATTAGTCTTTAATATTGTCTGGGAATAGATGTTGCTGGGAATAATTAGTCTTTAATATTGTATGTAGTAACATACAGTACTGCACAAGTGTTAAGCTACATGTTTTAAAAGCAAAGAATGTTAGATCTTTACAGTACAATTTACAACATGATGGTAAACACCTTCAGTACACAGTTTGTGCTGAGTCAAGTCACTCTACAAGCTACCGTGATGTTACAATGAGAACATTTTTAAGAATGTCTTTGGAAAGGTGGAACAATGTTTGGAATTCTTCCATATATCTGGGAGACATTTATCCCTGCGATCCAACCATGAGTAGCTAATAGGAAAATCCTCAACTCTATTACTACAGTATTGGAAGCAAGACTTACATTGAATTTTACAATCTCTCCGCTGTTAATGGAGGAACCTAGCCAATATATGTGCTCTTCTTAAGGAGAATTTGTCCAACTTAGTTCATATGTTTGTACCTATGCTGCCTCCTTGTTTTATTTATTTTTATTAAATTATTTTTGTGATGTTGGAAGTGACATTGTGCCCCCCCCCACTGAAAATTTTCTGGCTATGGGCCTTGTGTCAATGTGGCAAATGAGGTTTAATGTGGGCAAGTGCAAAGTAATGCACACTGGAGCCAAAAATCCTAACTATAAACATAGGTTGAGGGGGTCCAAACTAGCAGTAACTGACCAGGAGAGAGAGATCTTGGAGTCGTGGTAGATAACTCACAGAGGCCCCGGTCACATGAGAGGATTTGGGCCGGGAGAGGGACGGATCGGGGGCGGAGCAAACAGGCGCGATCCCACCGCAACATCTGGGAAGCGTTGCATGCCCGTCCCCGATCCGGCCCTTCCAACGATAACCCGCAGCAAAAAAGAACCACCTACCGAGGTGGTTCTTTCCGAAAGGCCGCATCAAGGCCGGCCATGGGATCGCCGGCGCGTTCTTCCGCCGGCGCATCCCCGCCTCCTGGCCGAACTGCGCATGCTCAGACATGCGCAGTTCGGCAGCCTCCCGTGGCTTCCTCACTGGTCTCCCCGGCATCTGATCGTGCCGGGGAGCAATTGCATGGCCGCTCATGGGATCTGTATGATCCCGCCGCCGCATCCCTTTTTTGGTGCGGCTTTTAAAAGCCGCACTTTGCCCGTCCTTTTTTTCCCTCGTGTGGCAGGGACCTGAAAATGTCAACTCTGTATGCAGCTGCAATAAAAAAGGCAAATGCTACTGGGGATTACTAGGAAGGGGATTGAAAACAAATCAGACAGTATCATAATGCCCCTGTGTGAATCTATGGTGCAGCCTTACAAGGTATAGATAGGGACTCTGGGGCAAGTGATGCTCTGTCTTCTTGGTGCTTGGAGGGGGGGGCAACAGTGGGAGGGCTTCTAATGTCCTGGCCCCACTGGTGGACCTCCTGATGGCACCTGGTATTTTTGGCCACTGTGTGACAGTTGGACTGGATGAGCTTTTGGCCTGATCCAACATTGGCGTCTCTTATGTTCTTATGTTCTAAGGTATGTCCCAAGGCCTTGGCTATGGTAAAGCAGTTGTCATAAGACTGCCATAAGGGCAGCCCTGTCTGAATTATACCAAAGTTTTTGTGTCTTGCAACAGCCAGCCAGGTGCCTCAGGGAAACCCAGGAAAAGCACTTGCTCCCCTGTTGTTATTCCTAGCATCTGATATTCAGTGCTATACTGTTTTTGAAAATGGAGGTTTAGTTTAGATCCCATGATCAAAAGCCATTTTAAGGGTATTCATTTTTGAAGGCATCCCCTGCCTTAAAAGCCTGAAATAGCTTAGCCTGGGCCAATAGGGAAGATGCTCCAAAATTTGGTCATTAATTTATTCCATTTAGTTTTGTAGAAAAGCAGCAAAGGGTCCATCAAAATATAGAAAGAAAGGTGGGGCCTGTTGTGCTGGTGCAATGTATGGGACATCCAAAGGTTATTTAATTGCATAGAATAACATGAGAAATGTAGGCTGTACAAAAATGCTTATGTGTGGAGACAATAATTTCATTTTTTCTCTTTTGTAAAAGAACACATTGTAAGAATTTAGCTAGAATTGAAAGGATGCTTTGAATAAATTTTGATTAAAGAGATTGAGAATAAATATATGCTCCTAAATTGCTCTCCTCCTTGGACAGCAAAAGATATATGTGGTTCATTAGACAAATGTATAGGCCCTATCTTATCAAGTGCTCTTGTGCCTTGCTTGATTATTGTAAGTAGTCCAATTGATATCACAAACTGAGAAGGAAACATCTGTTTTCTGCTGATACTGCCTAGGTTGACTGAGTGACGTCAACTAGAAATTTTAGTTTACAGTCAGTATTCACACTAGGACTTTGAAGATCAGAGTTCCCTATTCCCTGCTGTTTTTATGTGTGGCACGCACATTATTAGTCTACATTCCCTGCTGTTTTTATGTGTGTAGCACGCAAGTTATTAGTCTATGGCTCAGCACTGATTTATAAACAAGATTTATGTTTTCCAGTGTCAACAACAGCATCATAATAATGCATTTAATTATTATTTTATTTAATTTATACCCCACTCTTCCCGAAACTGGCTCAGAGCGGGTAACATCAAACCATAAAATACAATTTTAAAAACTTTTAAAACAGCATATAATTGCAATAAATGCAGTAAAATATAATATAGTTACAACAATTCTATAAAATTCCAGAGGGCATATGAAGGGGCAATATTCAAGGGAATGGGGGGGACACAAGGGGAGGGGAAAAGGAAGAAGAGGGGGAGGCCAAACTTGTTACCAGCTAGGACCCCCACTGCACTGCCCTGCCCTGCCCTCAACCATAGGCCCAGAGGAACAAGCCTGTTTTGCAGGCACTGTGGAATTGTACTAAATCCCACAGGGTCCTGATCTCTACAGAAAGACTGTACTGCCAGGGCTGAAAAACCCCTGGCCCTTGACAGACAAATGCTCTTTGGGCGGGGGACCACCAGTAGATTTTGATCACTCGAGCATAATGTTGTATGTATGTTAAGGACGTTAAAGGTCAGCACCAGAACCTTGAACTTGATCCAGTCTGCAATCTGGAGCCAATGCAGCTGATAGAGCAATGGTTGGATATGTGCTTTAAAGAGTGTTCCCGTTAGGACTCTTGCAGCTACATTTTGAACCAGTTGCATTTTCCAGATCAGCCTCTGGGTTAAGCTTTTGGACTGGTACTAAGGGTGGGTCATTGTTAATTAGAGCCACGGAGAGCTGGGGTGGCAGGTGCTAGGGGACTAAGGCAGTGAAAATGCAAGGAAATCTGCCATGTGGAAACTCTATTGCTGTTGTGCTGCTTCCACAGCTGCAGCAGCGGGGGGCGGGGGACCGCACAAGCCCATCTCAATCTGAAAAGCACCCTTGTCAGGCCAACAGAACTGGCAGGCTGATAGAAGCCATTTTTGGCTCATGAAAAGCCCATGCAGATGAACTTTCTGTTAATGTGCTTTTCTACCTCTGTGTTGCAGTGACTTTAATATCCAATTGTTTCTCTATTTCTTCAACTTTTTGCAGGTAGAACTGCATGTTCATCTGGATGGATCCATTAAACCTGAAACTATTTTACAAATTGGCAAGTGAGTGGTGTTAGGCTTGGTTGTGATTCTCCATTTTTTTAAAAATATAATCTTTTATAATTAAGTCTGTATTTGCAAAATGGCCTCTGATAGTTACAGCTTTAGAGTAAGCAAATGAAATGTCTTAAGCTTTGGCTTGACTTTTTGTGATCTCTATTGTGTTGCTTTTTAAAATGTTACTAAATTTAAGTCTCCCTGGATAGCCCAATCTCATCAGATCTTTGAAGCTAAGAAGGGTCAGCTCTGGCTAGTATTTAAATGGGAAGTCTCCAAGGCCGTGAGGCAGAGGAAGGCAATGGCAAATCACCTCTGAGCATCTCTTACCTTGAAAACCCTATGGGGTCACCATAAGACAGCTGTGACTCGACAGCATTTCCCACCACCACCAATGGTTACAGAACTAGCAAGTGGATCTAAGCTGCAAAGCTACAGTGGTAACAGATTTTCCAGCTCCTCTCCCATCCCTGTCTCAAGCTCTATCCTCAGCTGAACAGTCAGGAGGTACTCAGGGGAGGGGTCGTGGCTCAGTGATAGAGCATCTGCTCAATGCACAGAAGATCCCAGGTTCAATCTCTGACATCTCCAGTGAGGATCAGATAGTAAGTGATGTGGAGGACCTCATCCTGAGTGCCTGTGGAATCACTGCCAGTCTGAGTAGACAACTCTGACTTGGGCTGCGCTCTCACACACTAAGTAATCCACTTTCAGTGCACTTTCCAACTGGATTTTGCTGTGTGAACTGGCAAAATCCTGTTGGAAAGTGTATTGAAAGTGGATTATTTAGTATGTGTGACCGCAGTCAAAGATGGACTAGTGGTCTGATTCAGTATAAGGCAGCTTCATCTGTTCGTGTATGTGTTCATGTGAAGTGGATGGGGTCAAGGAAGCAGACTGACAAATGCTGTTGGAGCTAGACCACAGATTAAAAAAATCACTGAATAAAATAAAAAAATCACTGAATAAAAGTAGGAAGACATTAGTACATAGAGATATAAGTATGGATCGGCCCTTGTTATTATAGAAAATGCTAGATAGCATTGATCTCGTAAGGGGGCAACTGGGAGTGTAGCTTGTGTATGAAGCCATATTCAAGCCGATGTGGCTTCAATAACCAAAACTGTTTCTTTGCAAATAAAAACAGATGTCATGTAAGGACATTGTATTAGGAATTTCTGTTACAGTGTATTTTGAAAAGCAATTTCTTGAGCCAAAAGTGAGATGCTATTGTTTAGCTGAATTGAAGGAAGGGGGAGGGAACAACCTGGCATGGAGGATGACAATTTATCATCAATTCCAGGAAAAGGAAAGGTCTTTCACTTAGCCTTATAGCTCTTGATTGTCCTCAAGTATGTTGAGAGACCTATGTGTGCTACCTTAGACTAAGAACACTTTCCTGGAAACAAGCCGCGTTAAAAAAAACAGAACTTACTTCTGTGTAACCCTACAGGGAATTGCTTCCTGAGTACCAGAACAAAGTTTGAGTCCAGTGGCACCTTTAAGGCCAACAAAGTTTTATTCATGTGCAGGCACATTTCCTCAGATACAGTGGAACAGAACATCCTCAGCCATTACTTATAGGGGGTGGGGTGGGGTGCTTGCACACGAAAGCTTATATCTTGAATAAAACTTTGTTGGTCTTAAAGGTGCCACTGGACTCAAACTTTGTTCTGCTGCTTCAGACCAACACGGCTACCCCACCAGAATCTATCTCCCTAAGTACCATTGAACTCAGTGGAATATAATTCCTAGTTAATTATAATGGGATCAGGAAGTTAGCAGAGAATCCAAATTCCACCATAAAATTCACTGAATTCTTTGCTCAGAAAACTACTTGTGTGCATTTCATTTATGTGCTTTGTCCTGTTAGTAATTTGCAGATTTCCTTGCTTTTTAAAAGCCAGTTAGTATGCGTATTCTGCCCATTGTTGCTGTCTTCTCTTCCCCCTCTGACTACAAATGATTTTGTGTTTGTGTGTGTGATTTCTGGAACACTTGGAGGGAGGAGGCAATTGGGCTGGATCACAGAAAGCAGCTGGGGAGGCTGCACTGAATTCACTTGTACTTTTTTCAGGATTCTTTTGAATTAACCAAATTAGTCATTACAGACCATATTTGTACACAAGAGAAAATGAATTTATACCCAAATAGTGACAAGTTGACTACATGTCAAGTATCTGAGGATTCCTAGCCACACAATACAGTTCAGAATGAATCAAAATAAGTCATCAATAGATGATATGTAGAGTAAAAGCAATGGCAAACCAACTCTGCTTCTCATGTGTCTTAAAAGCCCCTTGCTGTGGTTGCTATAAGTCAGCAGCAACCAATGCTCCCTCTAAGCTATGGAGACTTATGAACAAAAATTCTACTTCGTGAGCTCCTGGCATTAAAGTTGTGAGCGAGCGATTTGGCTACTGCATAAATTAGTTTGATCTGGAGCCATCCTTCCTGAGATAAGACAAAAATGTGTGAGCCGGCAGCTAAAAAACTGTGAGCTAGCTCACACCGACTCAGCTTAGAGGGAACACTGGCAGCAACTTTTTTTTTTGCCATCAAGTCAAGCTGACTTCTGTGACCCCTTGTGAGACTTGAAGGCAAGGGATATTCAGAGGTGGTTTGCCATCACTGCCTCTGTGTCACACCTGCCTCTGTGTCTGGTATTCCTTGGAGGTCTCCCATCCAAATACTAGCTAGGGCTGGCCCTGCTTAGCTCCGGAGATCTGACAAGATCAGGCTTGCCTGGGCAGTCTGCTGCAACTTTTGATGGCATTTTACACTCACACAGAGATGATATTATGTTGTTTTTTAATTTATAGGAAAAGAAAAATTGGTCTTCCTGCAGATACTGTAGAAGGCCTCCTACAACAAGTTAGCTACAATGAGCCACTCTGTCTCACAGAGTTCCTAGCAAAGTTTTCCCTCTACATGCCAGCAATTGCGTAAGTAAAATAACTTTCTCTTAACCACTGTCAGAAGCCTCCTCAGTCTCTTTTCTCTACTATGGATTGATTTTACCAGCATGGGGACCTGTGATCTGGACCTTGTTTTGTTTTACCACATTAGGTTGATTCTGGTAAACAATGAAATGCACTTATGAATGCCTTTCAAAGCTTTGAACACAAAAGTGCAGGCTTTGATTCGCAAATAAGATTAATGAGTGCTGAGTCTGTGTGACTTGCTGGTGCATGGTGACCCTTTGCCTGTGGTGAAGTGAGCAAAGCAGTTTCTAAGGTCATGTGAAAACCGTCCTTTCACTACTTTCTGTGGGCAGTTCTAGAACTGCTGTCACAAGGAATAGGGTTTGTTGGGATCAGCACTGTGTACATTCTGCATTGCATACTGACTTCCAGGCTGGTGCAGATCTTGTGACTAATATGAGAGCTTCCTGTTCTGTGGCTAATGAAGTCTTGCTTGAGAAATTGCTTTCAGGCCACGGAATTCTGATTCTTGGAATTAATAGCATAGTGGTCTATTTGAAATTATATAACAGGTTGTTTGCAGTGCCGGGAGGCCAAGGCTAAGAAGGGGGGGGGCTCAGCCAGTGGCATCTCATTCAGTTCCGTACTCTGCTCCAATGTGATATAATATGGCCATGCATCCTACCACCCATTTCAGCAAAGTCTGAAACCTACCTTCATCCCTTCCTCCTCCTTATATGGCTCTTCTGCCGCAGTAAGAACCATTTAAGCTGGAGGAAGGTGTCAAACTTTGCTGAGTAGAGTGGTGAGATCCTTGCCAATAAACCTAAAATTAATCATATTAATACAGTAAAGCCTGCTTGCTAAGAGTTACTTATCATTAAGTAAAGATTTTTGAGTGAGGCATAGGTTGTTTGCCTTTCTGATGGCTCTGTACAGACATACCATGAAAATGGGGCATGTTGGCAATTTTCCTCCTGTAGCTCAAGCCTAACTTTTTTTCCTTTGGCAACCAAATCAGCTTACTGAATGCTGATTCAGGAATCTGTTACCCTTCCCTGTACCCTGCTTGATACAGGCGATCAGCTTTATTTTAACCTTTTAATACATAGCTTGGACCTTATTGCTTGCACATTTGCCTTATTTGTAAGCGTAAAAAGAAAACCTTAGAAAATTAAAAGTGCATCAAAAATTACTCCAGAAAAGAAGAAGAAGAAAAATATCTTTGACTTTATGGACAGTTGGACAGAAGGGTATTGAAAACAGATCAGCCAATATTATAATGCCCCTATATACATCAATGGTGCGACCTCATTTGGAATACTGTGTGCAGGTCTGGTCACCACACCTTAAAGGATATTATAGCTTTGGAAAAAGTGCAGAAAAGGACAACTCGAATGATAAAAGGGTTGGAACACTTTCCCTATGAGGAAAGGTTAAGGCGCTTAGGGCTCTTTAACTTGGAGAAACGACGACTGAGGGGTGACATGATTGAGGTTTATAAGATTATGCATGGGAAAGAACAGGTAGAGAAAGAGGTACTTTTCTCCTTTTTTCACAATACAAGAACTCGTGGGCACTCCATGAAATTGCTGAGCGGTCGGGTTAGAACGGATAAAAGGAAGTACTTCTTCACCCAAAGGGTGATTAACACATGGAATTCACTGCCACAGGAAGTGGTGGCGGCTACAAGCATGGACGGCTTCAAAAGGGAATTAGATAAGCATATGGAGCAGAGGTCCATCAGTGGCTATTAGCCACAAGGTATAGATAGGGACTCTGGGGCAAGTGATGCTCTGTCATCTTGGTGCTTGGGGGGGGGGGTCAACAGTGGGAGGGCTTCTAATGTCCTGGCCCCACTGGTGGACCTCCTGATGGCACTGGTATTTCTGGCCACTGTGTGATACAGAGTGTTGGACTGGATGGGCCTTTGGCCTGATCCAGCATTGGCATCTCTTATGTTCTTACGTGCTTTTCATGTCTGACTTCTGCTACAAGCAGGAAGGCATAGGAAGAAGCACTTTCCTCAGGGCCCATCCTGAGGAGAAAGCTGAACTCATTAAATGTCTTTTCTCAGTGGCTCCCAGCTCCAGTTATGCACACCCATATGCAGCCTATGAGTTGCAAGTTAAGTTTGTGAGTTTGTTCCCTAAACATTGCCTTGCTGCTGTTTTTCCAAATGTTTGTTGAAATGGTTCATACCTGTACTAATGGTCTAAGAAATGCAAGTACAGAACAAGATGGGAAGAAGCCTAGGATAACGTTTGCTGTTTATATGGAGTATTTCAAGTGTGTGTGTTTAAATATATCCTGCCTTTCATTTTCAAAACTTTCAAGGTAGCAAACAATGAAAGGAACACACAAAAAAATCAAGACACAGTATCACAGAACAAAATTCTAGAATCAAAATCTCTTCAGTTTAAATGGAGAGGTAGGCCAGTTATGGATTCACCCATACACTAAAGAGCAGAGAAACTGTAAGCAACTGGATGCCTTAAATCATACCACATAAGCAGTAAACATGTAATTTGCTTACTACAAATTACACTGTATGTGCCCACAGTTTGCCTTGGTCTTTCACATTGGGCTTGTGACTAGCAGTAACATGACTGGCAGTGACTCTTAAAACAAGCTACAGTTAAAACAGGAGTGTTGACATTGGTTTTTTCCCCAATGGATGATGTTTCCACCTGGCACCTGAGTGTCACTGAAGTTGGCAGCAAGCATGTCTTGGAAGGTATTCCAAAACTGGAGTACCATGAAAGAAAAGACCCCCACTCATACAATGTCTTAAATGTCTCCCTAGGAGAAAAACCTCTGAAGAGGATCTCAGATAATCATCAGGTTCATATATGTCAATAAATATATCTGGGAAAGACTGCATTAGCTCCTGCAGTCTTCCTTTTGAATGAAATGTGCTCAATGCATATTCTGTGTTGCATTACCCTTGGATCTAGGACAACATGCTATAGTTCAGGGCATCCTTCTGTTTTATTTGTAGGAAAAAGTGCAGAGGTTTATGTTGTATTCATGAAATCTAGTTATTCATAGGGTTGAGAAGGAAGAATGATCAGTTGAGCCACTGTGGGGACGGACAGGGCATTGTAATAGAATGTAATAAGAGCTCTATTAGGTCAAACCAAAGGCCCATCTCCTCCAGCATCCTGTTTATCATAGTACCTAACCTGATTTCTGCTACAAAGCACACAAAGAAGGACATGAAGGCAATAGCTTTCCTTCTTGTTGCCCCTCAACACCTGGTGTTCAGAGGTATACTTCCTCTGAACACAGAGGTTCTATTTAATTGAAAAGAGGGCCACACCAGTCACCAAAACAAAGAGCAAAAGAAGCTGATGATGATTTTACCTGTTCACACAGTAAAATCTAGTTGGAAAGTGCACTTAAAGTGGATTGAAAGTGGATTATTTAGTGTATGTGACTGCAGCCATGAAGAACTGAAATAACAGTTTACAATGAATCATAGAAAAACATTGGCAAGTTCAGGCAGTGCGGGTTGGGTTCAAAACAACTGATGCAGGCCCCATATTTATTCACTTAATGCAATGCTTATACTACATTCTTCAAGGAACTTTGCTTGGCACAATCAAGGGAGCACTGCTGTAATTTTAGCTGTGTGAAATGCTGAAAAGAGACCAACAGTGCAATCCTAAACAGAGTTACACCCTTCTAAAACCACTGGGGCTTAAAAGAGTGTAACTGAAATTCACTTTCCTTCAATTTCTATTTTCAAACATGTCTGGGTAATTAACAGGAAAACTGCCTTTCCATGTGGAATACAAAAAAGTAGAAAAATTCTATTCTGCAGCTAATCATTCTGAATTTTCTATTAGTCAGCGGATCACGTAACTGAATTTCAAATAGGGAACATGTGGGCCAGTTTGGTATAGTGGTTAAGTGCACGGACTCTAATCTGGGAGAAGCAGGTTTGATTCCTCACTCCTCCACTTGCAGCTGCTGGATGACCTTTGGCAAGCCATAGTTCTGTCAGAGCTGTTCTCTCAAGAACAGTTCTCTGGAGACCTCTCTCATAGGGTGTCTCTTGCGGGGAAGGGAAAGGAGTTTGTAAGCCGCTCTGAGACACCAAGTGAAGGGTGGGATATAAATCCAATCTCCTCTTCTTCTTCCTTGCATCATTTATGGCAAGCATAATTTAGTGATTACATCATTTATGGCAAGCATAATTTAGCAATTACAACCAGTTTAGAATTAGAACTGGGTTTGGAACTGGAGTAAATCATATTTAACTTTAAATTGCTTTATTATAAACCTCCTGAAGTTTTTTTTTGGTGGGGGCCTGGAATATAAATGGACAAAACATTGTTTAGTTGTGTCCATATCAGGCTTGAAGATTCAGAAAGTATTTGAGCAGTGTGCCTTTGAGGTTTAGATTACAATTACAGTCTGCTGTGAAGCTACTGTGGGCATTGTGGAAAGGTGGGACATAAATATTTTCCATAAATAAACAATTTCACATTCATAGCACAGTGCATATCTTTACAGGTGCTTGGTGATTGTTTGACTGTAGAGTAGGGTTGCCAGCCTCCAGGTGGGGCCTGGGGATCTCCTGCTTTTACAACTCATCTCCAGCTGACAGATATCAGCTCCCCTGGAGAAAATGGCTGTTTTGAAGGGTGGCCTTTATGGCATTGTACCATGCTAAGGCCTCTCCCCTCCCAAAACCCCACCCTCTCCTGGATCCACCCCCAAAGTCTCCAGGTGTTTTCCAAACCAGACCTGGCAACCCTACTGTAGAATTTATTTAAAAATAACTGGACTTTTTATATGTGCAGGGGAGACCGTGAAGCTGTGAAAAGAATAGCTTATGAATTTGTGGAAATGAAAGCAAAGGAGGGAGTCATCTATGTTGAGGTCAGGTACAGCCCTCACCTTCTTGCCAACTGCAAAGTGAACCCAATCCCTTGGGGCCAGAAAAAGTGAGTACCTCTTTAAATGTGTTTGAGAGGCATTACAAAATGTTTTCCTGGGAAGGATAAATATCAGTTAAACATTATTGCCTGTTGATGTGTAGTTAAAAGAAAATTGGTTTTAGGTGTGCAGTTTTATAATTAAAGGGCACATCTACATGTCTAGTATTACTTTATGTCTTAGCATTCACAAGAGGAGTCTTTCCAGAATGAGCACTGATTTTGCAGTGTGCAGGACCAGCTTTCTCCCATCTTAACAGGAAAGAAGTACTTCCTTTTTTTAAAGGGCACTTGCCATATATTTCTCATTCTTCTGGTTCAGTGCTGAAGTCCTCTCTCTCCCTCATTGTTCCCAGAAAATCTAAGAGAAAATAAGAGGCACAAAATCCAGCTTAAATCTTTAAAATAAATTATATATTTCCGCTCACACAACAATTTGCTATTAAAATGTAGAGCAATAACAGAAATTTACAGGACAAATATTTAAATTAATACTAAATATATGTAGTCTTAATGCACGATATGTTGCTCATTACAGGTGGTTTCAGAGGGTGGCTGTGTTGGTCTGCAGTAGAACAGCTAGATTTGAGCCCAGTAGTACCTTAGAGACCAACAACGTTTTGGTGTGTATGAGCTTTCAAGAGTCAAAGCTCCCTTTATCACTGTTAAAGCTGAAAACAGTTTTGAATAGGCACATAAACTCCCAAATGTAAAACGTAATGCAAGAACATATCTGAGAATGACTGTGTCAGGTGATCTTTGCATTGCTTCTGCTTTAAATGTTAGGATGAAGGAGAATTCATATAAAACAATTTCTCAATGGTATTAATGCCTCAGAAATAAAAGTGGATATTTCATATTGACAAATATGTATAAGATGCTGAACTGCAGACTGGAAGGTCAGCAATTCGAGACCCAAGTGCCGCATGACAGAGTGAGCTCCCATCTCTCGTCCCAGCTCCTGCCAGCCTAGCCGTTCAAAAGCAAGAAATTGCAAGTAGATAAATAGGTACCACTTCAGTGGGAAGGTAACAGCGTTCCGTGCACCTCAGTGCCTAGTCATGCTGGCCACATGACCACAGAAATGTCTTTGGACAGCACTGGCTCTTCGGCTTGGAAACAGAGATGAGTACCGCATCCCTAGAGTTGGATTCAATTGGCTTTTGAGCAAGGGAAACCTTTACCTTTACCTAGCCACAAAAAAGCAGCTTTCAAGCATATGATCTGGAAATGCCAAGTATATAGTTGGGAAATTTTGGAGGAATGTTCTGTGTGAAATTTGTCAAATAACAGAGTAATCAATTCCAAACACGATGTATTTGGAAAACGCATGAAAGCAAAGAGTGCAGCAAGAATTTTACACAAAATTGGGAAAAGGCAGAAAGCTTGAATATTAAGTACAGCTAAAACCTTATTTCCACTTATAAAACAATTTACAATTAAAACGTAAAGTAATAACAGAAATTAACAAGGAAAAAAATGAACCCTGTTGGGGTGACAGCAAAATCATCTAAACTGGCAGATCTGGTCAGATTAAGCAATGGTGAGGCTAACCAACCCTATGTTTCAGAAAGCTGGGAACCTTCCCATACATTTTGGAAAAAAGAATTTCACTTAGATCTTGATATTTATAATCGCGCTAATCTCTTGTAGAAGAATGTGTAATTGAATTCAGACATAGAAAGTGAGCTGGCAGTGGATGAAAGAAGCAAGTATTATAGTGATTTAGAATGTTAGTGATATGTAATACATATTATGTTTATAGTTGCCTTCTCTCTCTAAATATTGGCCCCGGTCACACGGCAAAGTTGCCGCGGGAGAGGCACAGAAGTTGGGCGGATTATCCGGGCGCAATCACACCCCAACATCTGGGAAGTGGAGCGCACTCGTGGCTTACTGCCAACAATGCGCGTTAAAAAACTAGTACCTCCAAGGTACTAGTAAACGTTTGCCATGGGCTGCCTCCAGACGCCCGTGGTGTGATCGCGCCGGCGCACAGCATTCCCCTCCGGTCCCTCATTTACCCACTGGCACCAAGGGAAGGACCCGTGGTGTGCCGCCGGCGCGTCTGACCGCGTAATCGCGAATCAAACTGCGCCGGGGCAATTAGCCACGCCCCCCCCCGCAATATCTGGCCCGTATGACCGGGGCCATTGTTTGTTTGTTTATTTTTTGAAACATATCCTTATTTATTGTCTGCTTGTCTCAATACAGCAGGAGTAGGATATGTATTATTTATTTGTAATTGGCTTGACTTGGTAAAACTTATATATTAAAATAGAGAAAATTTTAGAAACTCAAGGCCTATTGTTTTTATATCTTTGATTTGATATAAGAGCACCTCTTGATGGGGATCTCCACAGTCTGTTCAACCCATTGATTCACCCTCCGTTTTTTGTTACAACTGTACTTTTTTTGTTTATTTGCTGCTGACTGAGGAATCTTGATGAATTCTTGTATTAAGTGAGCCACAATACTGCTGAAACCAAGTGCTGATATCATTGGGAGGGGACAGCTTAACTCTCCTGTTGAAATCAGTGGGACTTCAAAGTACTTAACTTTCTGCTGGTCTGAAAATGTCAAATGAATAAAATAACTTTTATGATGCTCATATAATTGCTGGCACAAATTTTTGCTAATTTGAAAAATTAACTTTGAGTTATTGAGGCTCGCCTTGCGCCTCTACCCTGTTAAGAAAACAATCCTTTTACCAACTGTACAATATGAAATGCATTTTTTCTTGATGTATTCTTGATACTCTGGGTCTTTGAATCACTAAACCTATATCCCAATAAGAAATCTCTACCCTATTTCCTCCATCCATGCTATAGACCATTCTTTGACAAGGTTCACACACTGCCCTCTAGCCTTGAACACTTCATCCGTCTTGCCTGTTTAAAGCTGCTGGGGCAGGGAGGTTGGCAGAGGATATACTTTTTTCTAGAGAACAACCACAGTTAAAAATGGCCTTTCCTTCCCCTTCTCTCCTGGGGGGGGGGGACCTGTAGCACATTTGGCTGTTGAGAGTGGCCCTGCAGAGGATCTTTACAGCTCCTAATTTGTTTAGAAGAAATCAGAGCTTTGTTTGACGATCCTGTGCTAATTCAAAACCAGCTTTGTAAGAAGCCACTCTGAGGAATTAGTGTAAAAAGGGCAGGAAGGAAGTTTTGGCACGGGTGGTTTAATTTTTGCCAGGGTAGCCTGAAGCTGTGCATATTAATAAGTTCTTGGACTGGGGTGGGGCTTGAGGAGAGGGAGTATTGCTGTCACCAGCTAGAAAAAAATCTTATTTCCTTATGGAAACAAAGGGGCAATCAATTCTAGTACAGGTATTATGCCACACTGCTAACAAGACAAGCCATTCAACCTTGCAAGGTGACAGCCTTCTTCTGAAGAAGTTGTAAATTGCTCCCTTTTGCAGTAGCAAAAATAGTGGTGCCCTTCATTAAACTATATGTGATGACCTGTATTATCATTTAAATGGGATGGGTTGAAATTAGGCTCTTTTTTCTGTTATGCTGATAGTGCTTATGGAATATTTGGAAATAACCCTAAAAGCCAGATCATACTTTTGTGGAAGACTTTTGTCATGTGTAAACAGGTGTTTGATGACGTCCTCTACGAAGTGGTCACCACATGTTCACAGAACCATATACCCCCTTCTCATTTTAGGCCGAAAATTTAAATTGCATGTTACAAAACCCCTATGGGGCCTCCTTTTAGGGAGAAGCAATCCAGACATTCCCTCTTGAAAGCAGGGGCATGAGAAGTGGCACTTAACATCTCTCTCTCTCTCTCTGTTCCCCCCCCTTGCTCCTTTTCCCTGCCACCCTACGCATAATCACAGTCTTTACTGCCCCAGATGTGTGTATATCTTCTGCCGTTATAGTTTAATATGTTCTTCTGCCCTTAGTGTTCATGGAGAGATACTCAGTAAACACTTCTGCCATCTAAAGTCCAAAACTGACTCTGGGTGATGTGATCTTCCACTGCTTCTTCTGTCATTGTTGGGCAGTGATCATCTGCTAACTGATCTCTCTGTATTTCTTTTATGCAGGGGAGACCTCACTCCGGATGAAGTGGTTAACCTTGTTAATCAGGGATTAAAAGCTGGAGAGGAGGCTTTCAACATCAAAGCCAGGTCTATTCTATGCTGCATGCGCCACATGCCAAGTAATGTATTACAGTTCACCCATAGCTCAGCTTTACCTAAACTGTCTAATTCCACCTTCTTCTATCTTCAGTCCCCTACCATTTCTTTCTGAAATCAATCAACTATTCCTATTTACATCAGAAAAAGGGTGTGTGGGGGGGGTGCTGAACCCTTTTTCACCCAGCACTACAGTCCCAGTCACCCCCAAGTCCCCTGGGCTGTTATTTCGATAAGTTTAAATTTTCATATAGTTTGGCCCCAAGTGGCCGCTTTTACTATAGACTTTTGGCCAAAAATACATTGTAGTTGGAGAAGTTCATGTATTTCACAGTTTCATCTTAAATTGTATTGCTCCTTTTAAGAAATCTCAAAAAGTTAATCCTAAACATACAAGTGCAGATCTAATTTTGACTGATTACAAATCAGGTGGAAAGAAGTCACATTTAATAGACATTATTTAAGATGCGTAATTTTCCATTCACATAAACAGAGCTGCAGATAGTACCTAGTTTGTGGTTTACTGAGTAGACCTGCTTAGGACTGCTGTTTAAATGTGGTATTGATAATAATGTAATACTTCATTTAACTAGTAAACTTTACTATAGTGGTGTGCCAGTGGATATACATTTTGTGCAAATGTAGCTTTAAATAAATATTTAAGCTAAGATACACTTTCTGTTCTTGGAGATTAGTTTGCAAGTTAACCTAGGTATGTTTGTTTCTTTGATTAAGTTAGTTTTGGGGATTTTTTTTACAAGGCAGTGCAAATAAACCTAAAACCTCATGGAATAATGCTTTTCTTCAAATAAAAACACTTCTGGTATTGGATACTTATTGCCTTTGGTGTTTGGAGGAAATGAGAATCTGAAACTAAAGGCTGCTAAATGCATTTTAAATCATTCATTGGATTTATGTATAAATAAGCACTGAAAGAGTGTGTTAATTGTTAACTCAGTATCTTATCTCTGTTTTTGCTTTCTGCTGAGTTGAAGTACAGCACTGGTTTCCTATGCTAGGGTCATCAGCATTCTATCTTGATGACAGAGTGCTAATGAGAATTTTCTGTCTCTTGAGTTCTGTGAAATAACAGATAGTGTGAATGAAACTTTGCCCATGCAGACATTACAGGTATCAGGGAGCTGATTTGAAAATCAATGCCTATTGTTTAGAGTGGCACCTATACAGTCTGACGCAGCAACAGGTGTGTCTGGGGCCATTCATTTCAGCCACCTTTGGCTCCTCTAGTACTGCACAGAATGGGTCTGAGTTCTGAGGAAGCTGCGATAGTGCAGAATCCTGGTATAACCTCATCTTGGCTTGGATCCCAAGCAGTGCAAAGCAGAGTCACTCTGAAGGAAGGCAGCTTCCTTGCATCCCACTCCCTCTGTGGCCTTCTGTGCCCCTTGAAGTAGTGCTGCTCTGGGGCAGTAGATGCAAATTTAAAAAGTGGGGAGAAAAATTTGGAATGCAAAGCAGGAGGGGGGGAAATCAGCAATCATCTCTCTTCCCTCCTCCGCAAATAGAAAAGCCATTCTGTCTGGAGTTGCTGCATAATTAGGATCTAGGTTCCTTCTCTGTGAAAGTATAGGCAATAGCTATAATCTTGATAACTGGAGCTGTTCTTGTAATAATAACATTACTAGGTTCCCACTCTCACAGTAAGCTCCTACTTGCCATATCGAACACTTTTTGGATGGATACAAGGGCCTGGAAGTGGGGGTGCTAACCCCTAGGGTTTATTCAGAAATATCATCTCTCCTTATCATAATTGAATAGTGGGGACCCACGTTCTAAAATGCGCCCCGTTAGTGTATGGGCGAAAATGTTGCCACTCAGAAGACGCTGCCTCCGTTGACTGGCTCCCTCAGCGAACCTGGCCTGCCATTGGCTGGGTGGCTGGGAGGGGAGGGAGCCAGTCATCGCGGCAGCCAGCGTCTTCTGAGCAGCAATTCTTCCCGCCCTACACTAACCGGCCGCATTCAGGACGCTGAGCAGAGCCGGTAGGTCCGCCAGCTCCCCCACCGCCCACCTCAGGCCGGCCACCGGGAGCCACTCCCCCACCGCTCCCCCACCTCAC